CATGCATGAGGCCCTGGGTTCGATTCCTCAGCACCACATAAGCAAAAAGAAAAAAGCTGGAAGTGGCACTGTGGCTCAAGTGGTAGAGCGCTAACCTTGAGCTGAAGAGCTGAGGGACAGTGCACAGGCCCAGAGTTCAGGCCGCACGACTGGATCCAAAAAAAAAAAAAAGAAAAGCCACAAAAAGCTAAAGGGCTGGAGGCGTGGCTCTGGTGACAGTGCTTCTTCCCAGCAAGGGCAGGGCTCTGAGTTCAATCTCCACTACAAAAAAAAAAAAAAAGCCAGGCAATGGTGGCTTACATCAGCAATCTTAGCTGAGATCTGAGGGTCAAAGTTCCAAGCCAGCCCAGGCAGAAAAGTCTATGAGACTCTTACCTCCAATTAGAAAAGAAGCCAGAGCCCAGCGCTGGTGGCTCACGCCTGTCATCCTAGCTACTCAGGAGGCTGAGATCTGAGGATCATGGTTCAAAGCCAGCCTGGACAGGAAAGTTCGTGAGACTCTTATCTCCAATGAACCACTCAGAAAAATGCAAGTGGCGCTTTAGCTCAAGTGGTAGAGCGCTTGCCTTGAGCTGAAGAGCTGAGGGACAGCGCCCAGGCCCTGAATTCAAGCCCCAAGGACCGGCCCAAAAAAGAAAAAAAAAATTCCTCTCTCTGTGCTACAATTTTTTCCCCCTGAGGCTGGCCTGGAACTTACCATCCCCCTACCCTTAGCTTCTTGAATGCTGGAATTACAGGCATGCGCCACCCAACATTACTTTTTTTTTGGCCAGTCCTGGGGCTTGAATTCTGGGCCTGGCCACTGTCTTTCAGCTCTTCAGCTCAAGGCGAGCGCTCTACCACTTGAGCCACAGTGCCATTTCCGGCTTTTTCTGCTTATGTGGTGCTGAGGAATCGTACCCAGGGCCTCATGCATGCAAGGCTAGCGCTCTACCACTTGAGCCACAGCACCACTTCTGAGTTTTTGGTGGTTTATTGGCGATAAGAGTTTCACGGACTTTCCTGCCCGAGCTGGCTTTGAACCTCCATCCTCAGATCTCAGCCTCCTGAATAGCTAGGATGACAGGCGTGAGCCACCAGCGCCCGGCTTCCCAGCCCTCTTGTTCTTAGCATTAGTACGTCCCATGCTGTATTTGGGATAGGCTCATGCTTAGAGTCTCTTGGCTGGACATGGGGAATCCCAGGAACAGGGCACCTGTGTGTTCTCCTCTTGGCTGAATCTCCTGCCGAGGAGCTCAGAGAAGGAATCTCAGGCCAACAGGAAACCTACGAAGCAAAGCTTGAACTTGGGACTTGGGGAGGGGAAGGGGGGGCTTGGTTTGGGGGGTGTCTTGGGACTGGCCCAGAGACTTCATCCCATCCCTGCCCCGCTCTCCCCTCCCCTGCTAGGAGCAGCTGCGGCTCTACCTGGCCATGGACTCCACGTTCGAGCTTTGTAAGATCTGTGCGGAGAGAGACAAGGACGTGAGGCTGGAGCCGTGCGGCCATCTGCTCTGCAGCCGCTGCCTGACCACCTGGGAGGTGGGGGTCAGCCCCTCCCCGCCCCAATGGGGAAACTGAGACCCGGAGAGAGCAGACGCCTCCTCAGGACGCCAGGGGCCTGCCTGTCTGTGTCCCCGGCTCACCCCACTCTGCGAACCTCCACTTTTCCCAGCTGTATAATTAGGACAGAGCGCTTTTTCCTCCCTTGCTGGGCCAGCTAGGGACAGCTGCATTCAGTCTCTGGGCCTTGACCCCTTCTAGGGAGCAAGACTCTGCTGGAGATGATCGTGGCACCCCCAAAGGGTCGTAAGGGTCTGAGCCTGCAAGTCCTCCCCCCACCACACACACACACACAAAGGCCTGGCTCTGGGGCACCCTGTGCCCTGGCCCCAGGGCTCCATTCCCAGTCCCCCACCAGCGTCTCCCTCCCTGCCTGTGACTCCCTCTATCCCCGCCATGGGGGGGGGGGAGGTGTTCCCCAGCCCTGGGGATTGAGTGACGGTGCCCCCCCCATCCACCTCCCCCAGCACACAGACAGCCACACCTGCCCCTTCTGCCGCGGGCAGATCAGAGGCCGAGAGGCTGTCAGCATCTGCCAGGCCCAGGGCGGGGCGCGTGCGTGGACCAGTGCCCCAGATGGCCTTGGTGAGGAAGAGGAGGAGCCCGGGCAGGTGAGAGCCAGGGAGGCACCCTAAGAAGAATTCTTGAGTCTGAGGGAGGAGGCTGGGGGCCTGGACCCTTGGGTCTGAGGGAGGAGGCTGGATGATAGAGGCCAGGATGTTTGCTACCTAGGACTCTGGTTCTGGGGCCTTTCCTATCTGAATCTCCCGCCCCCCCATACCAGATTCTACAACAGCCTCTAACTACAGGAAGTAGTTAGAGCAAGGCTGATCTCAGCTCCTCCCTCCTGCCTCCCACAGGTGTCTCCTCCCCCGCTGCCCCCCAGGAGGCCCAGGAGCTGGCTGGAGGTGGTGAGTGACCTGCAGGGCTGATGCGGGGTGGCTGGGGCCTCAGTTGGTCCCAGGGTTCCTGCTCTAGCCTGGCTCCTGAGCGCTGGGATTACAGGCATACACTACCATGCCAGGCAGCCAAGCACACAGGTGGCCCGGCCCCTATGTGGGTCTGGTTTATGGGTGGTTCTTATTTTTTTAGTGGCTAAAAAGCAGACTGGACAGCCAGGCCCTGGTGGGTGGCTCATCCTAGTCACTCAGGAGGCTGAGATCTGAGGATCATAGTTCAAACACAGCCTGGGCAAGAAAGTCTGTGAGACTCTTGTCTCCAATGAACCACCAAAAATATGGAAGTGGAGCTGTGGCTCAAGTGGGTAGAGCACCAGCCTTGAGCAAATAAAGCTCAGGCACAGTGCCCAGGCCCTGAGTTCAAGCCCCAGGAACAATGCACACACAGACACACACACACACACACACACACACACACATACATACACATGTGCACGCACAGACCTGAGTCTTGCCAACATCCATAAAGGCAAAAAAGTCCCATTTCCCAGGAAGAGAGAAGCTCAGAGAGGGGCCTGTACCAGCCAGAGCCACACAGCCTGAAAGAAGATAAGGCAGCCTTAGGGCATTTCAGAATATGGGGTTTGAACCTGATAGATAGGTGTTCTACAAGCAGAGCCACGCCTTCCCAACCCTTCTTTTCTTGTGTATGTGTGCTGGTCCTGGAACTTGAACTCAGGGCCTGGGCGCTGTCCTTGAGCTCTTTTGCTCAAGGGGAACACTCTACCCCTTTGAGTCACAGCTCCACTTCCAGTTTTCTGATGGTTTATTGGAGACAAGAGTCTCAGAGCCTTTCCTGCCCGGGCTGGCTTTGGAGCGCGATCCTCAGATCTCAGCCTCCTGAGTAGCCAGGATGACAGGCGTGAGCCACCTGCGCCCAGCAACACCCAGCTTTTTGTTTTTGTTTTGTGGGTTTTTTTCCCCTCCTCTTACTACTGCTTTGCAGAGGTGGGGATGGAACCATGGCCTTGTGCACCCCAGGCTCCCCTTATTTCCTGGCCTGCCCGCTTGGGGAGAGGAGGGGGATCAGCCCTCCCTCCCTCCCTAGCTGGACACAAAAATCAATACAGCCAGGACGTGAGACAAACAGCTCAGGAAGTCCGGGAACGCAGCTCCCCCAGTGGGAACAAGGGAGCCAGCAGGAAGGGGAGGGGGGAGAAACGGGAGGGGGGTGAACTGGCTCTGAGCTAAAAACAGCCCCGGATCGCGGCCAGAGGCAAATGGAAACATTAGAGACACTCAGCCACTCCCTGAGGACCAGGCCCGCGGCCAGGAGCCTGCCAGGCTGCCCAGCACCCGGCCTCTGCGCACACCTGCACCCGGCTTGTGCCCCCCGCCCCCCCCGCCCGCCCAGCATGCCCTGCCAGATCTCCAAACCCGGGGTGACCCCAACTCCTGTCCATTCCTAAGTCATTCTTCAGAGCCTGCCCTGGGCATGGCGCTGCCAGCCTAGTGAGTGGGAATCCTGCAGGGCAACCATTGAGCCACGCCCAGGCCCCTTTTCCCATGGTGTCTCCTTCCTGCCGTTTGTTTTGAGGGTGGGGGAAATGGTACTGGGACTTGAATTCAGGGTCTAGGTGTGGTCCCTTAGTTTTTCTCCTCAAGACCGGTGCTCTACCATTTGAGCCACACCTCCACGTCTGGTTTGGGCCTGGTGAACTGGAGATAAGAATCTCTTGGAGGCCCAGGCGCAGGTAGCTCACATTTGTCATCCTAGCTACTCAGGAGGCTGAGATGTGAGGATCGTGGTTTGAAGTCAGCCCGGGCAGGAAAGTCTGTGCGATTATCATCTCCAATAAACCACCAGAAAACCAGAAGTGGTGCTGTGGCTCAAGTGGTAGAGCACTCGCATTGAGCAAGAGAAACTCAGGGACAGTGCTCAGGCCCTGAGTTCAAGCCTCACAGCCGACCCAAAAAAGTCTCATGGACTTTCCTGCCCCAGATGGCTTTGAAGTATGATCCTCAATCTCTCAGCCTCCTGAGTAGCTGGAATTACAGGTGTGTGAGCCACCAGACACTTGTCATTTTTTTTTTTAATGTGGGGGTAGCCTGGAATAGAGATCCTCCTATCTCTGCCTCTGGAGGTCTGGGATTATAGGCGTGTACCACCATGCCCGGCTTGCTCACTGTCGATCACAGAGGTCATCTCAAGCCTTCTGTCCAAAGCCTCTGCACTCCCTCTGTGCCCAATCCGTCTCCCAGAGCCGCCCCCCCCTTTCCCCGCCCCGTGTCCTGGTTACCCTGACTTTCCCCATCAGTCAGAAGGGACTGTGAACATTAGAGGCACTTCCTTGTTTCTGAGCTGATGGCTCAGAGCCAAGCTGTCGCGCGAGCGGTGCCCATCAGCTCGGCAGGATGGAAATTTTCTTCTGTCTTGGTCAAGCTAGGTTCCCAGAGATTGGGTGGGAGTGAAGGAATGGATGGACAGAGGGATGGCGGTGGACAGACAGAGATTCAGTCAGAACATCTTCCTGTTCCAGGCAGAGAGTGAGGGGGGAAAAAACAGCACTGATGGGGGACAGGACTCTGTCTTAAGCACCCAGCTCCCAACCAGCAGCTCTCTGGGACATGTATTATTATTATTGTTGTTGTTGTTATTTGTTATCTTCCTCCTGTTCCTTCTCTTTGTTCCTCCTCCTCTTCTTCTTCTCCTTCTTTTGTCAGTTGTGGGCTTGAACTCTGGGCCTGAGCTCTTCAGCTCAGGGCGAGCGCTCTACCACTTGAGCCACAGCGCTACTTCCAGTTTTCTAAGTTTACTGGAGACAAGAGTCTCACAGACTTTCCTGCCCAGGCTGGCTTTGAACCGAGATCCTCAGAACTCAGCCTCCTGAGTAGCTAGGATGACAGGCTTGAGCCACGGGTGCCCAGCTCTTCCTCTTCTTTTTCTCCTCCTCTGAGCTTCTTTTGCTCAAGGCTAGCACTCTACCACTTGAGCCACAGTGCCACTTCCGGCTTTTTCTGTGTATGTGGTGCTGAGGAATCGAACCCAGGGCTTCATTGCTAGGCAAGCACTCTACCACTGAGCCACCTTCCTGGCCCCGGCCTTCCTCAGTAGCTAGGATTGCAGGCATGAGTCACTGGGTGCCTGCCAGCTGTCAGTACTTTTTGAATCTGATCTCATCACTTTGCCCGGGGCTCAGCCTGGAACTCAATCCCATCTGCACTTTCTGTGCAACGGAGATCTCAGTTGGAGCCTACCAGACTTGACCCGTTTGTTGTGATGGAAACTTTTGTTTCCAGGCTGGCCTCCCAATTGCGATCCTCCCAATCTCTGCCTCCTCAGTGGCGGGAATTACAAGCATGAGCTACAACGCCCAGCGCACCTGAGACATTTCTTTATCTTCTCCCTTCCAGGCCCCTCTGGTCCTACCCAAACTCCGGGCTCCTCTTCCCTTGCCTAGAATAAAAACCATGGCCTCAGCCCCGTGGGACGCCACCCCCCGCCCCCAGGCCTCGGAGGAGGCCACGGAGTAAGTGCACAGGGCTTCAGACTGGTCTGGGCCTCCAGGGAAAATCGAGTATGTGTGGGGGTGGGGACAATGAGTCCCAGGAGATCCACAGCCCCCCACCCCCCCAATTCTCCTTGCAGAAGCTCCTGAGGGGAAGAGTCACCCCTCCAGCTGGCCCTGGAGGGGAAGGCAACCCCGCCATCCTGCCGGGGCCGGAGACCAGGTGAGGCCACGCCCTGTCTCTCCAGCTTCCCTGGGTGGGTGGAGAGGATGCTGCCCTGGGCATCACACATTCTAACCAGCTGTCTTCTGTCCCCACAGGGCAGCCAGCCAGACACACACACAGTGGACCCCAGATTGGAGGCTGGGGGCCTGGGGAGGGGAGAGTGGGGGGGGGGGAGCCAGGCCAGGTTGGTGAAACTGAAATAAATGCCAGCAGCCACCAGAGGGCAGTTTTGCTGTGGGGAAAGATGGGGGTTCCCTCCACTCTCAGCCCCTCATATAACACCGCCCGCCTCCCTCTGCCCTGGCCTCACCCTCCCGCCCCTCCGTTCTTCTCCCCACAACCACAGCCTCCACCAGACTGAGGAAGTGCCTCCCTCCCCTTTTTTTTTTGTTTTTGGTCAGTCGCGGGGCTTGAACTCTGGGCCTGGGCGCTGTCCCTCAGCTCTTCAGCTCAAAGCGGGCGCTCTACCACTTGAGCCACAGCACCACTTCTGGTTTTCTGGTGGTTTATTGGAGATAAGAGTTCCCAGGACTTTCCTGCCCGGGCTGGCTTTGAACTGCAATCCCCAGATCTCAGCCTCCTGAGTAGCTAGGATGACAGGCGTGAGCCACTGGCGCCCTTGTCACCAAGGGATTAAATGGGCCAACTCCTGAGGTCCTGCTGGGTGCCCAGCCGTGGGGACCGCATGGTGGTCACTGCCCCCTTCCTGCACGTCAGGAGTGACCCCACGTGGGGGACTGTGCGGGCCTCAGGAGCACACAGGGAGCAGAAGGTGGACCCACCCTGGGAAGTCCCAGAGGGCTTCTGGGAAGAGGCGGCGTCCAGACCGAGCCGCGCAGGCGAGGGGACGGGCGGCGGCCCCCAGAGCGTGGCTTTCCGTTCCAGGCAACGCCACACGCCGCCGCCACCTCGGGGACACAGAGGGACTTTGTTGGAAGGATTTGGGGTCAGTCAACAATGCCAGGAGTCAGTCAGAGAGCTGGGATTGGAAAAGCCAGCCAGGAGACTGGCCACTCGCCAACCAGGTCACCAACCACCGCTGCCCCACGGAACCGGCCCAGCCAGGCCTGGGGGCAGGGGAGGAGGGGCCAGCGATGACCACCCGGCCTTGCCATCAGCCAGTCACCTTGTGCCATGCAGGGGTCCCCGGGGCAGGCAGGGGAGCTGGACCAGACAACGGTCCCAGGGGTCCCCCGTGTGGCTGCCACCCACTCCCTTGGCTCCTAAAGCCACAGCACCCAGTCCCCAGGGAGGCACAGAGCTCTGTGGTGGCCCTGGAGCGTGGGCTGGCCTCAACTTACAATCCTCCTGCCTCAGCCTCCTGAGGACCAGGACTGCAGGTGTACACCAGGATTCCTGGCTGAGCCACACACCCCCAACCCTTTGGCTTTCAGTTTCTTTTCTCAGATAGGGTCTCAGGCTTTGGCCTCCGACTGGCCTTGGACTGTAATCCTCCTCCTTCCTCTGCCTCCCACGTAGCTGGGATTACAGGTGTGTGCCACAGCACCTAGCTGACCCCCTTATTGTGTGTGTGTGTGTGTGTGTGTGTGTGTGTGTGTGTGTGTGTGTTTCTGTGTCTCTTGGAGCACTAAGGTTTGAACTCAGCCACATACTCTTGCTTAAGCAGGTGCTCCACCATTTGAGCCACGTTCCAGTCATTTTTCAAGTAGGGTCTCACATTTTTGCCCCTGGGGCAGCCTCAGAGTGAGATCCTCCTGCCTCTCTGCCTCTTGTATGGCTAGGATGGCAAGCATGAGCTACGTACGAAATCCAGCTTGGTGGTTGAGGGGGGTGTCGCGCTCACGTTTCTGCGTGGGCTGGTCTCAAACTTCAAAACCCCCCATCTTGCCTCCCATGTGGCTAGGATTGCAGGTGTGAGCCACTGCACCCGGCTTTGGTGCAGAGAGAAAGTGGAAAGTCAGGCTGTGATTCAGATAAGCACCAGGAAGGGGGTGGCAGGCTCCTCCTGAAGACAGGAGGTGCCCAGTGGCCAGGGCTGGAGGGAAGGAGCCACGCCCAGCTCCTCCTGCGGGATTCGCTCCTGCATTTGTCACAAGTCTGGCTCTGCTACCAACGCTGACATCACCTTGCCTCCCACAGAAGCAAGAAAGCAAACATCCATCCTTTTTAGCTTATGGGGGAGCATCAGAGCCAGACACCCGTAACTCACTCCTGCCATCCTACCTATTCAGGAAGCTGAGATCTGAGGGACTGGGGTTCAAAGCCAAGCAAACCCTGGGGAGGGAAGTGCTTGAGACTCATAACTCTGATTAACCAGCAAAAAGCAGGGCTGGAGGCATGGTTCAAGCGGTGGAGGCACCCACTGAGCAAAAGCACAAAGCCTTGAGTTCAGGCCAGAGCACATACACATAAATGCAAGATGGCAGGATGCTGAAAACGTCTGGGCAAATACTACAGCCTTTCACGGAAGGGTAGCAAGGCGTTCCTCACCATGACTGCTGGCCAAGGAGGTGGCCACGTAAGGTCCCATGGCCTAGTGACTAGTTGTTGTGGTTGGAGTGTGTAGCGTTCGCCCCGTGGCGTTCACACAATGACAAGCTAGCCCCACATCACATGACCCCTTGTGAAGTGACAGGTGACTGACTATGTGATCAGCTCTAACCTGGGAGACAGACCGGCCAGAATTAGAACACAATTCGGTTCACAAATATTTACTTGTCTTATGCCAAGCAAAGCCAGGCAGGGGCACTGCAAAGAAAAAAGCAAAAACAAAAAACAAAACAAAAAAAAACCCAGAAAGATAACATAAAACCGTAGCTCACGCCTGTAGTCCCAGCTACTCAGGAAGCTGAGATGTGAGGATCATGGTTCAAAGCCAATCCAGGCAGGAATGTCTGTGAGACTCTGCTCTCCCATGAACTACCAAAAAGCTAGAAATGGCTCTGTCTGTGGCTTAAGCAGTAGAGCACCAGCCTTGAGCACAAAAGATCAGAGAGAAGAGCCCAGGTCCTGAGTTCAAGTCCCAGCATAGGCACCAAAAAAGAAACAATAAAAGACAGCCAAGCCTCTTAGAAGGGCTAAGACAGGGCCATACCAATGGGGACCACCCAGAGCATGCAGGATGGGGGCCGGGGCTGGGGCAGAGAGAACTTGAAGGAGCGAGCCCATTTTGAAGGAGGGAATAAATATTGCTAATACCCAATTGCTGTCCTGTCCCACCAAGGAGAACAAAGTCGCTTTGCCAAGTCAGGCTACCTGTAATCCAAGCCCTCTCTGATACTATGGGAAGCTCCCTTCCAGCTGATCAGAGGCGTGACCAGTGACCCCCACCACTGACTACCACCAAGTACCACCCCTCCCATCCACCCCACACACACTCTGAGCTGGTTTGTGCAAAGCCTTGAGCTTTCTGATCTGTGACACCCCCACCAACCCATTGCCTGACCTGTGAACCCTAACCACACGTGGCCTGGCTCCACCTCCTCTTTCCCTCTCCTTCCCAGGGGCCCTGGCTTCCACCCCCTCCTCCCCTCACCTGCCTTGGCCTGCCAAAGGAATGAAGGGGAGAGAAGGAAGGAGAAAAGGAGGGGGTGACATTCCTGGGATTCCCTGAGCTGGGGGGGGGCAGAGATAGAGCCTTTCAGAGAGAGAGAGAGAGAGAGAGAGCGCGCACACAGGAGAGGGGAGGCACCCCGCACCCTCACCCATCATTCCAGAGGTCTATAGGCAGAACTGAAAATGGAAGACAATTCAAGATAAGAGAGTGAGTGAACTGGTTTCGTTCCAGGCTACTGAGGGTCGGATGTGAGGTGCAACCAGGGAGAAAGAAGCTGCTTGGGGTCAGAGGGGGGACAGTCACAGGAGGAGAGGCCAGCACAGGCCTCTGACCTCCCCTGAGGTCAGATGGTTCAAATCCACACTAAGCCAGGTGCTGGTGGCTCACACCTGTCATCCTAGCTACTCAAGAGGTGCGATCACAGCATCAAGGCTTGAAGCACAGTCCCTGAGACACTTATCGCCAATGACCCACCCAAAGTGGAAGCTGTGGCTCAAGTGGTAGAGCACCAGCCTTAAGCTCAGGGACAGCATCCACACCCTGAGTTCAAACTGGCACACACACAAAATCCACAGCCATTGGTCACAGGGTAAGGGAGTTGGGGGGTCTTCTAAGGCCTCAGGTCCAAAAGGGAGGGGGGACAAGCTCAGGACCCCAGCTAGGCGGGTTGGGCAAAGCCCTGGGCCCCCCACCCCCACCCCCAGGGGGTGGACGGAACTGGGGCGCACGCGCGCGCGCAGGGGTCCGCTCCGGGCAGTGGGAGGTCCTGGCCCGGCGCCCAGGCAGCAGGGAGGAGTGGGCGTGGTCGCGGTGCGGAGTGGGCGTGTCCCAGCGGAGAAGCGGGGTGTGATTGGTGGGCGTGGTTCGGAGGCGTGGCCTCTGCCGCCGGGCCCCGCCGCCGCCGAGCCTCACCCCAAGCTCAGTTGCCGCCGCCGCAGCCGCGAACATGGAGCCCCCGGACGCGGGAATCGGGGCGCGCGGGGCCCCGCGGCTGCTGTGGCTCGCGTTCCTGCTGACGGTGCACCCAGGTAGGGACTCGGGGTGAGAACAGGGAGGGGTTGGGGAGAACCCCGGGGAAGGAAACAGGACTAAACACCACCGTCCCAGGGTACAAAATCTGGGGGACCCCCGGAGGGGAGGAGGAGGAGACAGGTGGACTCAGTGATCAACTCCTTCCCCTGCTCAGGACCCCAGGAATCCCCTTGTTTTCTGGGGTTCCTGGAATCTGGGCCGTTGGGACCCGAGTCATGACCCTCCACTTGCTAGAGTGAAAAACAAACCCCGGAGAAAGCTGTCCCCCCCCTCTCTTCCAGTTTCTCTGGTAGCTCAGGAGGGGGGGACCCTGTGGCCAAACCAGCCATTCATGTAGTTTGAAAGTAGTCGCCTGGTTCAGCGAGGGCCCAGAGTCCCAGCCCTGGCTGTGAGTCCTTAGAACAAAGTGACCGTCACCCCCTTTCCCTCCACTGTCCTGTGGGGCCTCAGCTAAATCCACACACCTGCGTGGTGGCCTGAAGGGCTGGCCGGGGGACATCCGATGGCCAGCCCTGGCTGTCTGCAGCTCCGCCCCAGCCCTGGGAACCAGCCTGGCCCCATTGGGGCAGG